CTGAACAACAGACAGTATGTTCAAACATGCCATGTACAGAATCAACTGCTCTCCCTGCAATAGAAAATTATACTATAAGTCCCTGACATGGCACAATTCATTAAAGCATTACATTCAAGAAGAACACTTGTGTTCAATACTACATACACATGGGCTAACATGGAGGAACCACAGATGTAAATAAGATGTTTTGTTTGCTTTGTATATTGTGTTTAATGTCTTCTCTAAGTGAGATAAACATTTCTAGATGAAGCTAACACTTTACACTGTCTTAAAATATGAAATATCACTAGTTGAAATACAGTTCTAGGAGCATTTGTGCTCAACTGCTATATATTTTGAACTAGTGATTCTTATAGTATTTTCAGCTATCTCATGCTAAAGACTGCTTGCTCTTCTTTGGAACAGGAACAGTGCCCATAATGTTAAGCTCCCATGTGTCACCATGCAGGTTAACATCTGACGAACCCAACACAAGGGATCAAGTAAAACCCAGTAGCAGCTAAGCATATGCTATGTTTATGCATGTGTTTACAAACCAGTAAATTTTCAAAATCTCTGGAAGAATTCAAAGATGACACTCTACCTCAACTACCTGCTGGCAAGAGCAGGGCTGATCAACCACAAAAGCAAAGGTGAGTTATGGGAAAGAAACGAATAGAAAACAGATCAAGAGAAAAAAACCTCCCCAAAGTAAAATTCCAGAGAGGTGGAAAAAAAAAAAAAAAAAAAAAAAAAAAAAAAAATGAAGCCTGGTAGGCAAAGCTTACACTGTGTCCTCCTTGGGATTAGATAAGAACTTGAAAACTTTACACTTTCACTTCCCAACTCACTTTCTTGGGCATCAAGCTTCACAAGATATAGAGCTATTATCAACCTACCCAAACAGCTTCCAGGAAAGCCTAGCCATACTTTGTCCCCATACCTGAGCCAGCTCCTTAACACGCTTCTCCAGGGGTGTTGGAAGGCCTTCAGGAAAGGAAGAGGGCTGCCTGAATTCCTGATCCAATCCCACTCCAAGGGAATCACTTCCATCATCCATATCTTGGAAAGGGCTTCCTTCTGGAGACTCACTTAGAAGCTGTTCCAAGTCCAAATCTGTTAGGGAGTCCATGGCAGTGGCAGCTTGGAGCAAGTCGTTGTCAGAAGTGGAGCCAAAGAGTGACAACAAGGGGTCAGAAGTGCCCTCCAATTCCCTCAGGCCCTGAGCTTCTATTGACGACACAGCTACAGGCTTATGTTCCTCCTCCCTCTTTTTCTGAGCCTCTTTCTCCTTCTGAAATTTCTTTAGCATCTCTCTAACATTTAATGACCCAGAGTACTTCTTCTTCTTTTTCTCCTTACTGGCATTTAAGGCTGTGAAGCTGTAAGCAAGAGGAAAAATGATTACTCAGGTTGCAGGACTCTCCATGAGAAATTCAGTAACCTTCATCCCTGTACCCAGGAAATGGTCTCCACAAAAGCCTCTGTTTTGTCAGTCCACTTGTTAACATGCCTCCATTCTCTTGGCATAGAGAATTCATTCTTGCTGGACCAAAGCTTGAGTGTGAATAGAGATTAGCAACACAGTGTCATATACTGCTAAATATCCAGTGGGCTTTTAAGAACCATTTGCAGGTTTAAATAAATGTGAAAAATGGGAGGGACAAGAAAAGTATTTTAAGGAAGAAAACATGAAAACCAAAGAAAGAACAGCAGCAACGTGAAGGTAGCTGGGCTAACTAAGTAGGACTCATGACCACAGACATAAGAAAATAGCAGAAAACAAAAGAACTGGGGCAGAGAGGAGTTCTAAGAGAACAAGGAGCATCATTAATCATATGGTGACAGAAATAGCTGCTGACACTGACAGAGGCACACAGGCACACAAGCTGACACAAAAGGAGAGTGGCTGACAGAACAGCCCTGTCAGAGGAGAGGTGAAAGGAGAGTCAGCCCCTATAGCTTCTTTTGAAGCTGGAGAAGAGGGAGAGGGCAAGTCAGCTCCTGGTGTTGTGCCCTCATAGACCACTTTATCCTAGTGGTCTGCTGCCTCTCACCCGGCTTTGGAAAACTTGGACTTTTTCGATTTCTTCTCCTTGTCATAAGTGTCATCTTTTTTCTTCTTCTTTATCTTTTCACCACTTTCTTTCAACTTCCTCTTCTAAGAATTAAAGACAAAGTACAGTTATACAACTTCCTGAGTCAGAGAGCAAATACACTAGACAGCACTGGTCTTGCCCCAAATGAGGTACATCTTCAGACCCATTTCATTTCCTTCATGAACAAAAAAGGCTTCTATCTCAAAGCAGTCCCTGGACAAAATCTATAGCATCCCATCAACAGTGTTTCCTTCAAACACTCAAATGGAGACCATGGTAGCTGTTCTGAGGCAGATTTGGAATAAGATGTGGGTGAGCCCTCTCATTTTAAATAATGGGCAGTGGTAGGCAAACTCTAAAATACACTTAATCTAAGGCTGAACAGTTTTCAGTGGGTGACAAGCCCTAGAACTAAAGTCCTCTCCAACTCCACAGTAAAGAAGCCAGTAAGAGTGGGGCACACTTCATTGGTCCACATGGATAAAATGACTGAGGCCTGACCAGTATCCCCATATTCACATCATGTTAAGACAATTCTACCTTTCCACTAGTTTCCTAAGCCATCCTAAAAGGTTGCATATTCTAGAGTCACCTACTGATCTCACAGTCACATCAAAAAGTATCTCTGAAATACAAAAGGAAAAATATCCTAACCTTTGGAGATTTTTTCTTCTTTTCCTTAATGAAGTCATCCTCAGATTCTGAAGCTTGTCTAAACTGTAAGGTTCCCGAGTTAATGTAAAATCCTCCATACTTTGTGGTCAAAGAGGCAGGGACAAGTTCATCATACTAAGGGGGGAAAACATACCATCAGCTCCCATGTCTAGTTCAATAGCTCAAGGTACAAAGAACACCTTAAGAGATGCAACTAGGATTTTCTGTTACTCTTCATACACCATGCTAAGACATCCTCTCCTCAATCACCAACATGCAAGCTACTTAGGAGTTTTACAAAGAAGAGGTTGTTATTTTCATAGAAAAAAAAAAAAAAAAAAAAAACAAAGTTCAGGAAGACCCTTCCTCTCAAGTTCAGGGTTGTTTGTGCAAGGAGGACAAACTGAGATGTCACAACCCTGCCACACTATAATACATTCATTCATTAACTACTCACCGCCTCAGAGTTATCAATGAAAGAATCCGATTCATCATAGCCATACCCCATATCAATCAAATCCTGTATACGGTCTTTCCTACGTTTCTTTCCACCCTGAAATTTAAAAGCAAGGGGTCACATGCTTTTTGATAAGTACAATGAATTAAATGTTGTCTTGAGTCTTATCAGCTAGTGATTAAAGGTTGAAAAGCACTAAACATACAACCCTCACCCTGTCTCTCTCCTTTCTCTCTCTCTCACACAAACACACACCCCCTACATATATCCCAATCCCTTCTCTAAAGATCTCTGAAAAATAGGGCAGATTTGTATCTGCATAAAAAGCCTAACACAGAAGAATGAAATAAATGAATTATTCTGCTCTGAAACAAAACACATCCTCTAAGGCCTTATTTGCCCATTTAACTCACACATTTCTCCTGCCACATGAGAGTCTGAACTTAATACATTTGTTTAATAGCTGTTTTCTATTTCCTCTGAGTGCTACATCTATTTCCAGATCACTTCTGACTATATGATAATCCACTAAATGAACATGAAAATGCCTGGAGACTGCTCTCACTAATGAGGGTTGTTCTGCCCACACATAAGTCTTACATATTTTTCTTCGAATTTCCGTGCAAGGGCCTCCACCTTATGCCTTTCTTTTTCTTCATCGTTGAAAGGATCCAACACATCTTTTTTCTAGAAAGAGTTTATTCCACAAAAATAAATCACACACATATAGAAGAAAGTCATAGTCCTGGTTAAACACCCTTCAATGACTACCCAACACTTATAAATTGGGTAATGAAAACTATTATTCAGAAATAGCACGGTGTTGCCATCACATCATGTTTTAATGTTTAAAAAATAATCTCAACAAGAATATCAGTTCATTGTAATCCTAGCTACTAGAAAAGCTGAGGACAAGGACCTCAACTTCAAAGCCAGCAGGACTACAGAGTGAGGTCAAGGCTAACCTAGGCAATGCACTGAGAGCTTGTCTTAAACTAAACAAAAAAGAGGCTGAGGGCCTAGTTTAGTGTTATTGCCCTTGCATGATCAAGGCCTTAGGCTTAACCCAGTAGCCATGAACACATTAAAGAGAGAGAAGGTGACCAGGAAGTGGTGGTACATGCCTTTAATGCCAGCATTTGCAAGGCACAGCCAGGTAGATCTCTGAGTTCAAGGGCAATCTGGTCTACCCAGTGAGTTCCAGGAAAGGCAGAGCTATTATACAGTAGAGAAACTCTGTTTTGAAAAACAAAAGAGTGAGAGAGGGAGGAGAGGGAGGGAGGGAAGGAGAGAAAGAGAAAGAGAAAGAGAGAAAGAGGAAGGAGAAAGAAAACACGAAAACTTGATCAAGGTCTACAGAGCAGAGAGCCTTTCTAGAGATGTTCAATGTCTACAGAACTGTGTTCAATAAAGTTGATTCTTTTTGTAACAATTTAAGGTACTTGAAAACATTTTAAGGTGTCTAAAGGTTTCATAAAACTTCTAAAATAGTCAAGGTCCCAAAAGGTTAAAACTGGTGTCTGGGGAAACAGCTCAGGAATTAAAAGCACTGACTTCTCTTTAAATGCCTTGGATTCAACTCCCAGTATCCACATTAAACAGAGAGACAAAAAAAGTTTTAGGTTTTTTGGGGTTTTTTTTTTGTTTGTTTGTTTTGACTTTTTGAGACAGGATTTCTCTATGTAGCCCTGGAACTCAACTTGTAGACCTGGTTGGCCTCAAACTCAGAGATCTACATGCCTCCCAAATGCTAGGATTAAATGTGTGCACCAGCAAAGATTTTTTTTTAAAAAAATAATAGTTAAAAACCACACTTTGGCAGGACATATTAAAATTGAAATGATACAGCAAAGATTAGCATGGTCCCTGTTGTGATGATAACATACAAACTCATGAAGCATTCCATATTAAGAAAAAAAAAAAAAAAAAAAGGTTAAAAACCCACTGAATGGCCAGGCAGTAGTAGCACAGCCTTTAATCCCAGCACTCGAGAGGCACAGGCAGCAGATGATCTCTGTGAGTTTGAAATCAACCGAGTCTACAGAGGCAATTCCAGGACAGCTAGGGCTGTCTAGTAAGCACAAGGCATTGAAGAAAAGGACCAAAACCATACTACTCTTGGAAACATACCTTCAAGGACCCACTGTCATAACCTTCATCTGCCAACCTCAATTATCATCCCAAATATTTTCATCTAGTCTTCTAAAGTTTACCTTTACTCCATAAATTTACTCATGCAATTTTTTAATGAAGTAATTTTCCATAGCTGGATTTATGTTCTTAGACAAGGAGTTTTAATATGCCACAACTTCAGAGTAGAAATAAAATACTGACAAATGTATGTTTGCTTCAAAAGTCTCTAGGCCAGGCATGGAGGCACATATCTGTAATCTCAGAACTTGGAAAACAGAAGCAAAAGAGTAGAGTTCTAGGCCAGCCCAAAGACTCAATTTCCAACCTCAAACAAACAAAAAAGAAAAAATTCCTTTATTCCACATTCCTGTCTACTAAAACCCACCCACCCAAAAGCTCAGTTACATGATTTTATAGTAAGTGTATATACTGTGATACTGTGGTATATACAAAAATACAAACATTTAAAAATGTAATACATGAGTGGATTTTATTTTTTAATTTTATTTTTGTAAAATGCTTTGTCTGAAAGTATATATGTGTAGCATATGTATGCCTGGTGTCCAAAAAGGGCAGAAGAGGACATCAGATCCCCTGGAACTAGAGTTACAGGTGGTTGTGAGCCACCATGTGGATGCTGGAAATGGAACTTGAGTCCTGTATAGAAAAGCAGCCAGTACTCTTAAGCATACAGCCATCTCTCCAAAAATACAGGCTGTTTTTAAAAACAGGTACTTGTTTGTATCTTCTAACATTTCTACAATGATCACATACAACTTAAATGGCTAAAATAATGTTAGAAATCCCGTTTTTGAGCTGGGTGTTGGTGGCGCATGGCATTAATCCCAGCACTCAGAAGGCAGAGGCAGGCGGATCTCTGTGAGTCCAAGGCCAACCTGGTCTACAAAGACAGAGAAACCCTGTCTCAAAAAAAAAAAAAAAAAAAAATCCCAAGAAATCCTAGTTTTGAGTTCTACCCAATTCAACATGAATTCCTCAAAGCCAATTTCACACATTTCAATTACTATTCTGGATGGAAGGTTCCCCTCTGTCCAAACACAGCATCCTGGCCATTATTAAGCTCAGCCAAAGCCCTTTGGTGCTTAAATCTCAAAGTTTAACTATTGCTATCTGTTCTGCTAGATTTTCTTAAAATACTGTAAATTTCCATGAAGCAGGGGCAGTTTTTCCACTTTTAAATGGTCCTCACCATGCAGGACTTCACATTGCAAAGAATATGTGCTAGCTGAACCAACACACAAATGTAGCAGATTATACTAGGGGACCTCATGCATGACTATACTCAGGACATGTAAAACTGACTCAGGAATTGTAAAACTGAAGTTCAGGAGTGATTCCCATGAAACTTTATCCAAATTTCTCTGTGTATATTCCATACAGTTTTCTGCAATATTGAATATAATATGGAGCTTCTCTACCCCAGCTGCCTAAACAAACAAACAAACAAAACAAAAAACAAGGTAAGTTAGAGCACTGGAGTTCTAATTTCAATTGCTCTACACATCTGGTTTGAGCCCATGGATAAATGTTAACCTACTCCTGTTAATGTCTCTTTCTCTTAGGGAAGAGGATATTATTCCTATATTGAAAAAGGAACTGTAAACAGATTTTAAATTATTTTTCTCATTCTGCTTACTGGCCCTTATACAACATGATGACTCTTTATATAGATGCATTGATTTATTCTGTTAGGAAGCTATCAATCAAGACAACAGTTTCGGCTGGAAAGATGGCTCAGCAACTAAGAGTATTTGCAGAGGACCTGGGGTCTCCTTCCAAGCACCCACATAGTAGTATACAATCCTCTGTAACTCTAGCTCCAACTTCTTCTTCTAGCTTCCACACCCAACACACAGGGTACAGACACATGTAGTCCAAACATTCATACATAAAAATAATGGAGCTGGAGAAATGGCTAAGTGTTTGAGAGTGCTGGTTGCTCTTGCAGAGGACCTGGGTTCAATTCCCAGCACCCACATAATGGTTCACCATCATCTATAATTCCAGTTCCATGAGACCTGACACCTTCTAGTTTCTATGGGTACCAGGTACACAGGCAGTATACACACACACACACACACACACACACACACACACACACACACACACACACAAAATGTGTGTGTATGGAAAACACTAATAACTTTAAGAATAATAAATCACACTTTCGGTGTGGTGGCATATGCCTTAATCTCACCACCCAGAAGGTGGAAGAAGGTTCAGGAATTCAAAGGCATCTTGCTATATGGTAAGTTATGAAGCCAGCCTGGGATACATGAGACACTGAGAAAGGAAAGAAAGAAAATGATAGATAACCCTATACATAGGAAAGTGGAGAATTCTAACTAGACATGGTGCCTCCAAACACCCCTAAAATGAGTCAGGCTAAGTGAGTACTTGGCACTGAGACACTATGCTAGAGACTTTACCAACATGACCTCACTCCACCCTCACTGTGAGCCAGGTGCTTTATCCTTGTTCTAGTAAAAGCCATTCTAGAGACCAAAATATCACAAGTGTGATCCTACTCACCTTCTCCTCCTAGCCTAATACAGTACACTAGTATACAGAAAATGCTTAAAATGCTCTTCATCTAGCTCCTACTCCTGATATATGATTCTATATACATACAACACAAAGATATACAAAACTTATCTTGAGTGACAGTGGTAGCCTATAAAGATGTTCTTTGAGGCAAACAGAAGTGTTTCTAGTATCCTGCTAAATGTTGTATTTTGTGAATCATATACAGTTGCATGGCTTGTGCTGAGTTTGTGGAAATCCACAAACTTTATCAAATGTATCCTTCCTGTATGTATGACTTAACTAAAAATTGTACTTAAGATTTTTAGTTGGAATACAGTGGTATAAGCATGCAATCCTGTCATTTAGGAGTCTGCCACAGGAGAATCCTAAATTCAAGATCATCCTGGGTTATAAAGTAAGAATATGCTACTTGGTTTTTGAGCAATCTTGGATGAAAGACCTCAACAGAGAAAATGTGTTCATCAGATAGACCCTACGTAGGCATTTCTTGATAAATGATTGATGTGGGAATGGCAGCTCTGGGTGGTGACACCCCTAGGCAAGTGGCCCTAAGTTGTGTAAGAAAGGTAACTAAGCAATGCAAAAGGAACAAGCCAATAAAACAGTATTCCATAGTCCTACTTCTGTTCTTGCCTTAATTTCCCTGTAGTGTAAGCTGTAAACTGAAATAATCCTTTCCTCCTCCCCAAGTTGCTTTTGTGTCTCTGTTTGTCACAACAATGGAAACCAAAGACTTGAAACTATATAAAAACACACAATTTTAAAAAATGTTAACGAGCCAGGTAATGGTGGCACATGCCTTTAATCCCAGCTCTTGGGAGGTGGATGGATCTCTGTGAGTTCGAGGCCAGCTTTATCTACAGAGCAAGTTCCAGGACAGCCTCCAAAGCTATACAGAGAAACCCCATCTCAAAAAAAAAAAAAAAAAAAAAAAAAAAGCAGATTTCTACATATCCAGAAACAAAAAAACTACTCTCAAGGCACTACTGGTCAGAAGAGACGTCCATAAATCAGGAGGATTCTTTTTTGTTTGTTTGTTTTTTGAGACAGGGTTTGTCTGTGGCTTTGGAGGCTATCCTGGAACTTGCTCTTGTAGACCAGGCTGGTCTTAAACTCACAGAGATCTGCCTGCCTCTGCCTCCGGAGTGCTGGGACTAAAGGTGTGCACCACCACTGCCCAGCTAGAAGGATTCTTAAAAGAAGTCTCTTCCCACCCAGTGCTTGCCCTAGATAAGTGGTAATCTTGGGGAAGTCCAGGCCTCTCTAGTCTCACTTCCCTGATGTAAAGAAAGGCCCATGTGAACATTTTGGTGTCTCCATATTAGGTCTGCAGAACAACTCTGGATCTACTGGAATGTACCTTGTCTCCAGGATGAAGGCCTTTCACCTTCCCTCGGATGTTCTTCACCAGCTCTGGGTAGAAGAACTCTGGGCAGCGTTTGTGATCTGGTTCAAAGAGGGTGAGTGTAATCCGAACAGCAGCTGCAGCTGGCTCACAGTCTTGATGCTGTTCTGTTCCTCCAACTTCCTCTTTCCTGGACTTCTTCAAAAATGCAGGATTCAAAGAACCTGGGAGAGAGGTGAACTGGACCCTGTGGGGCTCCGACATGGCTACCAACAAGTCTTAGCAGGTGTCACTGCATGATTTCTGTTAACAATGAAAAGAAGGGCCAGGTCAAACTAAAATAACAAAGATAAACATTTTCAAAGTAACAAAAATAGTTGTCAATTACACAGATTTTAAAAAATTTCCTTGTCAAGAAGAATTCATTGACAAATTAAAATTTCCTTAACTCATTTAAGTAATAGTTATAAATATAAAGTTTTCCTATTTTAGAAATAATCCCACATCAAATAATTCAGGTCAAAGCCTGTGTATTAATGCAGTCAAACTTTTTTTCTCATTTCCTTTGTACCTAGGAAGCCCTTTACAAACAGACCATATTAGAAGAAATCACCCAGTCAGTCTTCTATAGATACTCACTTTTAACTCTAACCTAAATTGAACTAAATATACTCTAAGATCTAAGGTCTGAAGACAGGCTCTAATTTGTTTGTTCCCCAGTACCAATTATTGAATAAGCTTCCTTTCCCTACTGATTTGCCATAGATCAAAGCAGACTTCATATACTTACAGTCCATGCAAAAAGCCATGTACTTGAGAGATTATTTAACTAGTACTACTCTGTCTTGAAAACTCTTACATTTTTAGTATACTAAAGTTAAAAGTTCATCTTTGTTTTCTTTTTAAAAATAATAACTGGGGGATGGAGAGACAGCTCAGCAGTTAAGAGCATGAGCTGTTTTTCCAGTGGACCCGGGTTGAATTCCTAGCACCCAAATGACAGTTCACAACTGTCTGTAACTCCAAGATCTGACACCCTCACACAGACATATATGCAGTTAAAACACCAATGAACATAAAATAAAAATAAATTATTAAAAAATAACTGGCTTTTAACCTATTTCAGAACAACTTTAGACTCATTTCCCTCCAAAATATGATTGTAATTCACAAAATGAGTAATAAATACGAATTCATTCAGGATGATTTGTCTATCTCCACATAGATGCATATATACAGATGTACTAGGATATAGCCAAAATTCATTATCATCATAAAAAGGTGATAAAGATCAGATAAGGGAGTAAAAACTATACAAATGAGTTTTAAAAAAATCATTCTAATCAGGCACGAAGCAGTAAAATAGATTGGCCTGTGGAAAATGTTTACCAACATGCACCAAGATACTGAAAAAAAAAAAAAAAAGAACCCTAAAAGAAACTTCCAAGGGTCTCAGGACATGGGTAGAAATTCACCTGACTGTGAAAATAAACCTGAACTGAAAGTTAAAAGCTTACAGGCTCCCCTTTGAGAGGAAGCACAATCTTACTGTAAAAAATGGATCAGCAAATTACTCAAATGGATGAAGAAAGTGACAACCAGATTCTAGTCTTTCTGTCCCGCCAAAAACTTTTAAATGTAGCCTCATCTCAGTCCAGGTTTTTAGAAGGCACACCTCAAACCCACATAGCTAGTAACAACACTCCTGTTAGCTGTAAAAGTCTCCACAAGCCTTAGCCAGCAGGAGACAAACTAGAAGACAAAGTAAATCACCTATTAACTCTTATAAGTCCAATTTTGGTTATCACAACATACTATTTTGCTCTTGAACTAGGCCATTTAACTTACTATAAGGCTTACAAGTTTACCTCTTTAGAAATATGAAGTAGCAGGGCAGTGGTAGTGCATGTCTTTAATCAGAAGGCAGAGGCAGGCATATCTCTTGTGAGTTTGAGGCCAAGAACTACAGCCTGGTCTGCAGCCAGGGCTACACAGAGAAATGCTGTTTGGAAATATCCCCACCACCAGAAGAAGAAAAAAAAAGAGAGAGAAGAAATATGAAGTACTTGAGAGAATTAAGAAAACAGCTACATGTAGTTTAAAATACTTAAGATAATTTAATTCACCTGGTTTAAAATAGTTAAGAAAGTTTAATCTGTTTAAACTGATGCTGAAACATTTGTCAAAGTTTTACTTTCACATGCATGTATGCATGAGTGTGCATGTGTAAAAACTTACAGAAGTTGGTTCTTTCATTTCATCATGTGGGTTCCAGGGACTGAATGTAGGTCTTCAGGCTTGGAGGCAGGCACCCTTATCTGCTGAACCATCTTGCAGACCCTCAAGTAATTTTTTGACATATAAATTCTTAAATTTATAAACAAAACATCAACAAAATTTCACAAGTCTTAAAAATAACTAAGACTGGACTGGAGATGTAGCTCAGTAGAGTGCTTCCCTAGTACACCATGGGCCCTGAGCTCAACTGCCATAGTGTTAAACTGGGAACGGTAATATACACCTGTAAACTCAGCATTATGAAGGTGGAGGCAGGTGGCTTGAAAGTTTAAAATTACTCTTGCTACATAAGGAGTTGAATGCCAGCTTGGATTGCATGAAACTATCTCCAAATAAAATGACCCCCCCCCAAAAAAAAACCCACTAAATATTAAGGGTTTTCTTTCTTCTTTCTTTCTTTTTTTTTTTTTTTTTAAGACAGGGATTCAGTATAGCCTGGCTGTGAGATTAGGTTTTAAATATTCTGAATGAGTTGAATATTAGAATGCCATAAAGTGGGGGGGAGGTTCTTTTTTAAAAAGAATGTTCCTGGAGAGAGGTGATAGTACATGCCTTTAATCCTCCCAGTAGAAGTGGGCAGATCTTTTTTGAGTTTGAGGCCAGACTGGTGTACAGCGTTTTATTGTCTGCAGAAATGACAACTTTTCTTTCAATTTATTTTTGTTTCCTACCTTATTTCATTAGCTAGAATTAGACAATGAATCCTTTGCTCTATTCCTTGCTTTAATGGGATCACGTCTAGGTCTAATTGTAAAAATTCACATTTAATTCTTTAATTCCTCCAAAATTCTAATTTCTAAATTAAGAAAACTTGAATTTTATGAAATATTAAATACGTTTTAAATGGTCAGTTTGTGTTTAAAATAACACACAGTATAAATGAAAGTCCCTACAACTAATCTGTAGTATTTCTGAGAAACTTATTTCCAAAGGAAAAAAACACACTGGGGTCAATCAACCTAAGGCACCCACCCAGCTTCACCCTACCGTCCCCAGAGCAATTTACAATCAAAGCCTCTACATGGGGACACTGCCTTGGGGGTAATGGGCATGACCCCACACCTTCCGAGCTGGCACTGACTCAAGAAAGTAAGCTGTAAGTTAAGTCCACTCTTAAGTCCACGTACTCCCCAGCCGTCTGTTCTAGAAGTGAGACTTAACTCAAAAGTCAGGCTTCAACACCTTCTGCGGAAGTTAGGGCAGCCGCCCTGCCCCTGTGTAGCTAACAGTTCCCACTACGCTGTCATCTGTCTTCCAGCTGTCACAACTTCTTGCAAAGTGTGACTCTACTTACAAAGGCTAACGCGGGAGGCTGGACCAGACCGCAGCACACACCGTTGTCCACAGAGCCGACGCGGGCCGCAGACGTCCCCCCGCGGCGGTCCTCATGCCGGCCCGGGACCCCCGGGCTGCGGCGCGGCTCAGCGGCCCGCTCCCGAGAGCTGCGAGCGGGCGCGCGGAGAGCCCGCGCCGCGGCCCATGGCCGGGTCCCCAGACCGTGGGAAGGGAGCCTCTCTACAAACCGCCGCTTTCTCTCGCCAGCCGGGCGGAGGGGGGTGGATTGGGAGGGAGCGGAGATATGCCAAGTCCACGTCCAAGAAAACAAGTCAGGCGACGCCGAGGTCGCTTGGCGCGGACGCCGCTCCGGAAACTGACCGTCGAGCGGGGCGCTCCTCAGCAGGCTGGAGCTCCCGCCTCGCGCGCGGGCTCGCGGGAAACCAGCGCCTCTCGGGCCCCCCGGCTTAGACCGAGATGGGCTTCCAGGCCGCGGCGGGGTCAGTCAGGGCAGCATCTGAGCTCCAACACCCGTCCGCCCGGCACCTCAGGCTCAAGAACGGCCCGCGGCCCGCGCCCGACTAACCGCCGTAACGGAAGCGGCCAGAAAGACTTGAGATGAGTCCAGAGCCCCGGAAACGAGGTGGTCAGCTCAGTCGGCTCCCTTTCGCGCTAGTCCGGCCGCGCCGCCTCCGCCGCGGCTGCTTTGGACCGTGGACGCTTCGTTGTCACGAGCCGGAGGGAGGAGGGGACAGGAGCCGGGAGCCTCTGGGCTTCGACGCGCTGAGAGCGCGGCGCTTAAGTCACGGGTCTCCACGCCGCCCAATGAGCGGCAGCGGCGCGATGACGTCAGCACACCCGCTTGCCGGATGACAGCAGACTCCCGTCACGTGGTCAGGCCCACTCCAATGGGCGGTGCCGCGGCGACCTGGAGTTCCCGGCTGCCTGTGCGGCGGCGGTGGTTGGGTGATAAGATGGCGGCTGTGAGTCTGCGGCTCGGCGACTTGGTGTGGTGAGTCCCGGTGGCCAGGGCTGAAGGGAAGACAAGACGGCTCGAAGCTGTTTTTTCCTAGGTGCAGCGTTGGCGGCTGGCCCAGGAGTTTCTTTATTATGCGCTCCTGGCGGCGCAGAGTGCGGAAGACGAGGTGCCGCCGCGCTGCGAACGACGCTTGGGCGGAAGGGGCTGTCCGGTCCCCGGGGGACCGAGGCCGAGGGTGGCCGCGGCAGTCCGGGCTCTGAACCCAGAGGCCATCCCAGGGGAGGGCTATGGCTCTGGAACCCGGACGCTGGCTGCCAGGGCAGAGAACTCCGTTGTCGTGCGGGTTTCTGAGTCCCGGGGTCTCTCCAGGGCTCCTCTCAAAGCAGGAGAGGCTATCTCGTGGGGGACAGAGCAGTACAAACCCGCGTTCCGATGGGACAGATGTGGGCTCGAGGCTCTGTCCCAGGTGGCGAAATCAGACTGCCTGAAGCTGCCCCATGAAGAAACCGAGAGGAGGGGGCACTTTTCCTTTGCAAACGATGGCTAGGCGGTGACCAGTGCCTCTTGTTCTGTTCCTTGTGTCCCCGACAACAGCCCGAATCAAGACTGACCATTGTCTCCTTGAAGCTGCGTAGTTTCCCGATCTAGAGGAAGGTTTCCATGATCATTTGTCAAAGGAAGGCTGATCTTGTGGCGTATTAAACCAGACCTAGGGAAAGTCTGTTTACAAAAGAGAATTGTATCCAACCCTGTCACCGGGACGCCCCAGACCATTGACTCTTAATGCTTTTGTTATTCTGTGTTCCTTCTCAGTGGAAGAATGCATACACACAATCTATCTCTCTCTCCCTCCCCCTCCCTCCTGTATTCCATGTTTGAGGGTCCTGAACCCAGCTGTGGAAGTTTGCCTGCTTTTGTTCTAGCCCTTGAAAGTGACAGGCTAGAGTTATAGGAGTATAAATTACTTGTTGAGTGGGTTGAAGGAGATGGACTGGCTTTTCCAGGACAAGTTCTGACTCTGTATTATTTTCTCTAGGGGGAAACTGGGCCGATATCCTCCTTGGCCGGGAAAGGTGAGTGTATTGCTGCTATTAAAGGAGGACATTTGAAGTTAGGGATGTGGGAGAATGTGCTGCGTTTCCCTCAGTCTCCAACATTGACTTAAAATGGGCTCATTCAGATAAGACTTAGTATTTTACTCTAGTTATCAGTCAGTTTTGAAAGTATATCAAACCAGAGTATTTAATGTGTGGTAATCATCACATCTTTCTTCAGTTAAGAGATGTTTTTTGTTGTTGTAAAATTTGTTGTTTATTATCTTGGAAATCAATTGTGATCAGAATGTAGTAGCATTATGCTTAGATCAAGAGAGAAGAAACAGATTCTCCAGGAAGAGAGAAGTCTAAATGTAGGTTAGTAGAAAGCCAAAGTATTTTTGTCCCAACTAAGTTTAAATCTTCTTCCCCTGTTACCATATGTGCTGCTCTGCAGAAGTTGACATTCCAGATTTTTTGAGAAGTGATCCATCAGAACTTTCCAAATGTTCTGGTTTTTTAGACTTGCTAGCAATCCAGGAAATGTCTGTAGACTTTTTGCAATATGGTGTTTCCTATGCCTCAGTGGTCCTTTATTTTCACCATTTCCTGTCTTTAACTCTTGCTGCACTGAACGTATTTTGAGTGATGTTTTCTGTTTCTTCATTGATCACATATCACATGGGGGTAGGGGTGATATTGCTGCTAATTTTAACTGCTTGTATACCAGGAGCCATAGTAGTAAAAACTGTATCTACTTAACAGTACACAACCTGTTAGCTATTGGTTATTTAAGGAATATTTGCACATTTCCACACATCACAATAGAAAAGTGCCAGATATGGGACAAATATAAAGCCTTGGTTTCTTTGGGATTTTTCCCCCAGGCAAGTTAGAGCTATGGCAAATTACTTTTCTAGTAGGCTCCTTTGTTATCATTCCTTTTTTCCCTTTTATCCTTCAGATTGTTAATCCACCTAAGGACTTGAAGAAACCACGTGGAAAGAAATGCTTCTTTGTGAAGTTTTTTGGAACAGAAGACCAGTGAGTAGTAGTATTCCCTGAGAGTTCATTTTGCCATTGGGTGTTCCCCTGAGTCTGAACTGCTTTGGGAATGTTCTAAGACTTCTTAGTTCAGGCTTACTGAAGTGTGTGAAAACTGTCATCTCATTCTGGCTTCATACCTAAATAAAAGGTGGTATTCTTTCATATCTGGCAAAAATTATTCTGGGCATAATAGTAATATCCCTCAGGTAAGAACCAGAATTCATAACATATTATAGTCACATTGAAGTAGTTTCTTATATCTTCAACATTTCTTGATTGCTTCTCTCTCATCATTTTTTAAAAATTGTGTGGCCTTGTGAATGGAACCTAGTGTCTTACCCAGGCTAAACAAGCCGTTGACCACTAAACTACATACATACCCAGATGATTTTCTTTTAATGACCATGTAGTGTGGTCTGTTTCTGAGGTTCACTAAAAGCTAAGGTGTTATTTGGTAAAAGTATTTGTTTAGTCCTGTTCTTATTTGTAAGACAAAATAACTTGCCTTGTCATTGTAATTATAAAGCTTTATTTCCCAATGTGTGCTGAACTGGAGGAATCTAGAACCATTACTTTGAGGGTCTCTGATATTACAGAAAGCAGTTTTAAGAAGTTACACAGAGGAAAGGATGTGTATTAATTTGAATTTGCAGTGGCTTAACTCTCCTCAGTACAAGATGATTGTCTCATTCTGGCTAGGTAACCTGATTTAAGCTGATGTTTTTAAGTTTAAAATTTGATTTTTCTGCTAAATCTGATACTGATGGCTAAAATATTTATTCCTTAAAAACAACATATAATATTATATATGAAAGTCCCTAACACATGTGCTTCACACATTCAGGAATTTAAGTGTTGGAGTACTCTTCCAGGTTTCAGTTTACATAGTATATTGACCTTCACAATACAGATGTACCCTGCCCCCATATTCTTCTCACCAGCCAACTTACCAGCTTTGTGGTGGCAATGGAAGGTTACTCTGAGTTGTAAGAGCAGAGCCTGTGGAAGAGGAATATTGTTCAGTACCATGAATTGAGATTGGACTATAGCTCAGTGGTAGAGCACTTGCCTATCGTGTACAAAGCCTTGGGTTCAATCCCCATTACCACCACTACCCCACCCGCCTCAGGAAGGAAGGAAAGTGTTATTGCCATAGACTACTTAAAGATTATCCTGATAAGAAAAACAGGTATTGGTTGTATTGCCAGTGCTAGATGATGAAAGAATTCCTAGGACAGTGAATATTGTGGTCCTCACCTTTTGGGAGCTCAATAAGGGAACGAGGTTTAATAGTTCAGTGGTGATAGTGTGCAGAATAACCAGGGTAACTAGGAACCAATGAAGGAAGAAAGCAAGGTCTAGGAAAGCTGATGGATGACAAGACGGGAATCTAGTTCTAAAGCATGAATAGAGTTTGGATGATCAGGAACAAAAAAGGCAATGTGAACTTTTATTGGGCAATGGGAAAGAAGAGGCTTCTTGTCTGGGATAACTGATACTAGGGAATCATAGGCTAATTTTAACTGCTTGTATACCAGGAGCCATAGTAGTAACATAGTAGTGACTAATTGAAAAACTAGACATGTCTGAAAGAAATATGGGAACTCATTTGGATTATTTAAAGTCTGAAAGCCATTACTTGGTAATTTTTTTAGTGTAAGAATCCTAGAGGGATATAGTGGTTTCTCTACATACATAAAATATTAGAACTAAGTAAGACACAGGGAATCTGAGTTGCATAAACTTGAGTACCCAGTGATAAAGAGCATGTGCTGAATACATATGTAATAACCTGTTGCTGGTAGTGATGGTATGACTTCTAAACAGTAAGCTCTCTTGAGTAGGTTGCATAGCAAATAGATACAAGGCAACTAGTACCTATAAATGACTTTAAGCGTCTTAGCTCATTGATCGAGTCCACATTTAAAAAATTCTTTTAGAAGGGCTCAGGATAAAGCTTAGTATAATATGTGTTTAACATTCATGAGGCCCTGGGTCAATGTCCAGTACTTCCCAAAAGATGAAACCCACTGTGTTTCTTTGTTTGTTTGTTTGTTTGTTTGAGTGGGCAGAGAACAAGTGATAAGGGTTTCCAGCACTGCTGTTGAGGACAGCCTCCTTGGTGCTCAGTGTTAAGGTTGATTTATTTAGGGGTCAGTGTACTATCTCTGCAGATCAGCTGGTAGCAACTGAGTACTTGGGGTAGTAGCTCTGATTTTCTTGTCTGCCTAACATGTATCAGATAACTGATTCTACCTGCTCTTTGATCTAAGCAAGACATTTCACCTTTCTAAGCCATCATCCTCATATGGGAATGCTTTGTGAGGAAAAGCAGCATCACTTGTAACATGAAAAGATATTTTTTTCCACTTTTGTACTGGGCTCTCCAGGAAAACTGTGCGGTGTAGTTATGTCACCCAGATGACCAGATAGAGCTAATCAAGATCCAGAGAACCCAGGAGAGTAGGGCTCTTTGCTATGAGAAAGCAAAACCTGAAGAAAAAAAGGAAGCTGAGTTAGGAGCCAGCTAGTGACTATCAAAAGTTCTGCAAGGGACAGTGTTGTATGATTGATTATTCAAGAACAGCACAAAGACTCCTGTGTGAAGTAGTTACTTTGAAGGTGATTTAACTGAATGTTTTAGAGATAAAAACCAGTTTCTAAAGGGCAACTATGTCTGTGGCTGTGGTGGAACCTTTAAGGCTGACATTAGGGATGAGGGTAAGTGTGACCCTGGCTGACTTCATCGGTGACTGGACCTAGCCCAATGAATGGGGTTCAACCCATGCTATTATATTCCTGAGAAACATAGCATTCAGTCAGATATACTCAATTTCAAAACTGACACATAAATTAATGGAAAATATATGTAATTAAATTTTACTTTAGCAAGAGCCTTTATTACAGAATATGTATAATACATAGCCTCTTGAGTAATATTATTAGTATCTTATGATGACCCTGAAAAGATGGTTCAACAATTAGGAGCACTTACTGCTTGCTCTTTGGGACAACTGAATTTGCTTCCCACATTAAGTGATCTTTTGACTTCCAAGGGCACCTATATGTACATGGAACACATTAACTCACATGGCGCACACACATACACATAAATAAAAAGCAAAAATAAGTGTCTGTGTATGATATATTATTATCCTAAAATTTTGGACATTTGGCTTTTCGTTTCCTTTTTTACCAAAACAGCTAACAAATTATGTTGGCATCCCACAGTTAGGAAAATAAGGCCAAACCTACTTCATCAAGCCTCCATGTTGAGGACAGGACTTAATGAGATAGATTCAGCTCTCCATAACAACTTTCCCCACTTACTCTAAAATCTAAAGGAAAAATAACTTCAGCAAAACTTTATTAACTATACCATAGACCACAGTTTAACATCATGAATCAGTGTCCAACTTGGTCAGGTCTGTTCTTTGTTGCCACTCATCAAAGAAGAAACGAGGCTTGGAGTTTAAAATTTTGACCTGACATTGGCAAGATAGCTGCACGGTTTAGAGCACTTGCAGCTACCCTAGAAGACCCTCATTGGTTCCCAGCACCCATGGTATATAGCTCATAATTACCTATTACTCTAGTTCCAAAGGGCCTGACACTTTCTGCTCTTCATTAGCACCTGTACACACATCAAATACACACACACTTACACATGCAAATACAAATAAATAAATCTTTTTAAAAAAATTGATCAGGGCCTGGAGAGATGACTTGGTTAAGAGCACTGGCTGCACTTCCAGAGGACCTGGGTTCAATTCTCAGCAACCACATGACAGCTCACACCCTCCAGTTCAGGACTTCTGATACCCTCACACTGATATATATGTAGGCAAAACACCAATGAACATAAAAACAAATTAACAAATTATGTATTTAAATTTTTTTTTTTTTTTTTTTTTTTTTTTTTTTTTTGGCTGGGTGGTGGTAGCACACGCCTTTAATCCTAACCCTGTCTTGAAGAAGAAAAAAAAAGACCTGATTCTTTCAAGTTGTTTCCTAACCTCTACTTGTACTGTCATACCCACAAACACACTCAACACTATTGAAAATTTTTGGTTTGATCCATAGCTGGAGATAGTGAAATGAGAAAGTATTCATTTAGTTTGTAGGTACTCAGAGCCACCAATTTAAGAATACTATTGCAGGAGCTGAAGTGATAGCTCAGTGGTTAAAAGCAATGGCTTCTCTTTCAGAGGACCAAGGTTCAATTTCTAAATACCACATGGTGCTCACAACTATCTGTGACTCCAGTTCCATACAATTCCATGAGCACCAGACATACACATGGTGCACAGATATACATGCAGGTAAAACACAGATAAACAACAAATTAAAATAAATAAATCTTTAAAAATAATGATGATAAATCAAGGGAAGGCCCTAAGGAGTTTCTCTTTAAAAGAATATGGTAGACCAGGCAGTGGTGGTACATGCCTTTACTCGCATCACTTGGGGAGGCAGAGGCAGGTGGATCTATGGGAGTGCCAAGACAGACTTAAAAGCTACACAGAGAAACCCCCTGTTTCAAAAAACCAAAAAAAAAAAAAAAAAAATACTATGGGCAAATTGGTTGTGACTAGTGACCTCAGTTTCCATGGCAATCTTTATGGCCAGTTCTTCTCCCCTCTGCTTTCAGGAAGTGGATAGGGGTGGTGTTCTGATTCTTCTCACATGAGGGCCAGGAGCTGCAAGTTTAAATGGTAAGATGTCCAGGATCCCAGACTCAGGAACCTTTAACATCAAGCCACATATAGGGTGAGCCAGGCCTAGTTGATATAAGGTGAAGGCGCTAAAATCCATGGTTGATGATGAAAAACGTACTGGTTTAGAACTGTGTGAGCATGCCTTTTTCTTTTCTCCTGGCATTAACCAATCCACTTTCTCTAAATCTGACACCCTTTAAATAGTTGAAAAAGAATTGAGCTAAGTAAGTAGTGAGGTCCAGTGTTCTGGATATTTGACTAGCACAACCTCTGCCTGTG